TGATGACATGACAGATGACATACCCATTAAACTGCACAGTAATTTGATCGGCCCTATTGTACGGCTGCAAAACATAGCCACTGAAAGTAGATGTGGGTACGTTAAGGGTTTTAACCAAAGATGGCTTTCTTTTAAATGATTACCCCTAATAGAGTAGTTCTGCATGCAATGTTGACATTATGTATACATTACCAAGAAAGATAGTTCAATATGAAGGTTTTCGGGAGATTTAATAATTGGTTTAGGGTTTGAACTCATCATGGACTGACATCAGTTGAAGGAATGTTGGAAACCTGAGAGCACAGGACAACCGCTTCGTCTTAGCATAGGACTCCTCAGCAATGACCACTTATGACCCCACGAGGGACCCGGCCCAGTACCTTGAGGTTTCACAGCTAGTACGTTACCATTGAGCCACTGCGTCTTCACAAACCTCTGGATCACTCATTAGAGACTAGCTTCAGAAGGTGATCCTCGAAAATCCAAACCAAAGTCGTGACCACTGGAGTCAACCAAGTCCAACATGAGGACAGTTACTTAACGATGCCATTGGATGAAGGTCGCGCTATATGTTGACCCACTGTTCACGAAACCCGAATGTCCTGAACTCGATCCCTGGTGGGGTCACGCTTGGACACTGCTGAGGAGCCGGATTGCTGGACGAAACAGCTGTTCATCGCTTCCGGGTTTCCCACATTCCTTCAACTGGTATCAGTTCATGGAGAATTCCAACCTTAAGAGAAAAGTAGATTGCGAATATATTCCACATATCGAGATAGCGTTTAAAATGACTGAAAATATTAACTGAAGTAGAAGTGGGTCAGAAGAACGCTAAAGACGGTCAGATCGGGACGTAGAATCGGTTCATGTAGTCGGTGACTATTGACCAGAGCCGTATGGGGAGATGCAAGTTACCTGGATTCGTTCCTCGAAATGATAGGAACGAAAGTACGGCAACTCCAGGTGATATGGCTGAAAATCAGACACCAGAGTGTAAACTTTTTGACAGCTTTACAGTTTTCGACATTAAGAACTTTAATATCATTCACTTTTGTGAATTGTAAGGTTATTCGTTTCGCTTACACGTTTTCTTTGCATGTTGGCTTAAAGTATGACAACTCGAAGCAGTTAATCTCTAAGCAAGATTTAAAAGTTGTTGTTTAGAGTCATAATTCTATAGCATTCCATAGTAGTCTTCATCAAAGACATGAAGAGATTGCAAAGTTTGATTATATATGTCTTCGTATCATAGTTCGCTTTTATTAGAATCACCGTATGAGCGATGTTGAGGTCAAATGAAGGCTACTAGGCAAGCAAGTCGATTGGTCAGGTTTCAAAATCATCATCGACTCAGGATTTTTGCTGAGCATGTACTCAGCATGCCTAGTCATCGCCACCTACCTTCACATGCCATGCAAGTGGAAGCTGAATTAGGTTGTGAGAGGATTGAGGATGGCCCAACCAAGACCTGAAACCAGTCGATTAATTCCGTGACTGTTGATCTCAGTCATGTTTGGAGATGTGGACTGCCACACTGGAGTCACTGAGATGATAGGAACCAGTGGTTGAGGACTGTTGGTGAAGTGACTGAAAATCAGTCGCAGTAGACCAGATCTTGAATATTTGCACCGGCCGTAATCTTGAGATTGTTTACCTTGTCACAAACTCTGATATCGTTCTTTTTCTATCCATCTGTCCTTTTTATACTACTGTGAAGTGTTGCAACTTTAGTTGGTGAACTTGTGTGTGAATTTCTGCGTCTAAACTATCTGCGTAATATACTGACTTGGGCTAATAGCAGTTGGAAGCCACACGGAAGCGGACTGTAATTTCTTCACTTACAAATTTTCACTGGATTTAATAGGGATAATTAAAGTTTGGTGATCAGTATCTTATCGTCCAGTTAGTAAATGTAGCTGAATGCTTCATCTACTCAAACTGCTGCTCACAGAGTTCTACAAATGGGTAAATGTTGTTAAATTCAACTTGACTGTCTTCAGAATGTATGGATTCCAGTCAAGCTCTACGTAAAGCCATCTTTTGATTAGACTGTAATAGGCACCGACTCACTATCCTGCTGGTTAATTTGTTGACTGAAGTGAAGATTCAGTTTACTCTCAAATATATGAAAGACAAAACACCAACCTGGATGAAACCGTCTTATGTCTACTACTAGATGTCATAGTATGCGTGTGAACGGAAGGCATTGTGAATCCGCTCTTGAACATGAATACTTATTCTAGAATTCAGTAGTAGTGCTTACAGTAAACTTTACCATATATCCCAAATTTATCTGTGTGAATAGGGTATTTATTATCCTGTTAGATAGGCCGTCAAGTATTCTTACAGTGATGTCATGAATGCACAGGTTTCAATCGCTTGCAATTCAGTAACTGTACTGAGTGACTATTGTGGTTAAATATATAACTACTTAAAATTAATATGATAGTCAGTTTCGATGATAACCAGCGATCCTCTAAAGTAGGTGGTATTTACATGGATCCATGTCAAATTTCTTCTAGAAATGAAAGAGCAATATTCACCTATATTCTCTATAATATATTCAACGTCTTAGTCTTAAATATCTTCTTTTTTAATACATTATAAGCTGAAATACTTTTGTTAAAAAATGAATTGAAGCTTAGAAGACTAAAAGTTATGAAAAGGTCAAATTTCATTTGGCACCATTTTTAAACTAGCCTTTTAACCTTTAATTTTATTAGTACACACATTTTCCTTTGATATCTGTTTTTAAACATGACCATCATCTATTGGCAGAAATCATTTTTATGAGTTAACTATACTTTTAAGAAAAAGATTTATGCATTCTTACGATAGTGCATATTACTATTATTATTATTAGTAGTAGTAGTAGTATCATCGAATAAAATGCACATATGTATGTTTATACGCGCCAAGCATAATACAAATATGGTTGTGTATATAAAATCAATAAAAATCGTTGAAATTATTTGAAAATACTTTCCCACATCATATGCTGTAGATATATATTCAGTTATGCATACTTACATACAGAAATAAATCTATTTGGTAGTTCAGTACTACAGGTGTAAGTTGAGGTAAGCTAGAAACAGCAATAGCTGAATTAATGTATCTGAGGCACAGTAGGCATAAGATTGCACTGGAATAAATTAGAATGCAGGATGGTGTAGAAAAATATTGAAAGATTAAAAAAAGAATACCATTTATAGTTAACTGAAAAGGTCAGTTAGAAAGACAGACTAAAGGAAAGCATATTTTTTTCAAAAACACAATGAACATTGGATGATATTTATGGTGAACTTTTTAAACTAAGGATTATAAAAATTCGCTTCATAGATAGGTAGACTTAACGTATTGAAGAGAGCGAAGCAAATAAGAAAACCAGAACCATAGTACATAAATGTCTTGTATAGACTTATCTGACTGTCAGAATAATTTGAGTAAGAAAACTGAATAGACTATGATGTGATATTGAGCACATGAGACTATGAAATCATAGTACATACGACCTATCGACTGACCTTTTTAGATATGGAAACCGAGGGCACTTTGAGACTTAGATGATTAGATGTCTTCAAGTTTGAAAATGTAATCATGTGTTTATTTTTTTTCCCTTGGGTTCCTAGTGGAAAATAAGGATTCAGTAGCACGTCTCCATTCCACTCTCTTCTCCTTTTCCATCTGGCGCCACGACAGCACACAAGCTCTCATTTCTTCCCCACATCATCTCCTCCATGTCACCCTCACCATAGATGCCCAACTCATCGTTTCCCCTTTCCATTCCAATCGACACCCGGTCTGACGCATCATGTCCCCAATACGCCTTCTCAGTGTATCCCCAATTCATCTCCACTTTGTTCACATGCATATTTGTGGGGTGATAGGTTCCTGGTTGTTCGTTGGTTGGTTCGTTGCCAGCCAGCCAGCCAGAGCTCCTCCTTGCTTATTCTCTCTAATCTCGCCATCCATCTCATCTTCACTGTCACTATCCAGTGAGGGTTGGTGGCAGCTGTTCATGTGATGTGTGTCTGTAGTTTGTTGGAAATGCTTTTCATGACACGTCAAGTTTCTGAACCATCACACAGAAGCACTGACTGACTTGACTGAATTGGTGTTGGAAATCCGGATGTTGTTCACGCTTTGTGCTGAGAGAAGTGCAGTAGATCTGCACACTGATTTCAGATTATTGAATGCCTGTCTTGCTATTTTCACTTCACTATCCTGGTTTTGACATCCTGGTCTGTGCCACCGCCTGTAGGTGAAATGATGCTGCCTGGACAGGTAGGTGAAAGAGATGACTTCCTTTAGGTCTCTCCCATTAATGGTGATTGGTGCATGTTGTTGATGCTGTTGTTGTTTGGCTATCTTCATCACCATCGTCTTTCCTACACTCACTTGAAGTCCCTATTTCGCTGCCTGGCCTCTTTTGTCAACTTGTTAGTTTTCGCCTGTAGATCTTCGAGTTTCCGCGACAAGACATAAATAATCGTCGGCAAAATCCAAATCTTCTCCTGTGGTCTTTTCATCGGTCCAGGTAGCGTATGCCTATCTTCTTGCTCCTCACTGTTTGCTGCATGATCCAATACAATCAGAAAGATCATGGGTGATAGTAGTTAGCCTTGTCTTACTTTTTCCCATCTTCACTTTAAAGTTATCACTAAGTTTTTCATTGTGGATCACTTGGCATTTGGCGTCATCGTATAGCTGTTGAATGAAGTTGATAAAGATTTGTAGCCCTCCATAGTGTTGAATCAACTGCCAAATTACTTCCCATGTATACTACCCTTCTTTTATCAAGTAAGTTAATGATTTAACTAATGTTTTAAATGGTCAAGTTTAAAATGAATCTTTGTAGGGTTATAGTGTGCCTACTCCTTGATTGTCAGTGAATAAGTTACATTACGAAAGGGCTTCCTACAGAGATAAAGTACTCTAACATGATAACGACTCAAATTACTATACTATATATGTATACGTATATATTTACATAAACTTACTTGATAGTGAGATTTTTGACCTTCAATCAAGGTGAACTCATAGGATGATTCATTAAAAACCGGTTTACAATCATTTACATCCTCAATAGTTATAATAATTTGTGTGAAAGTTTTATGTATTAAAGTTTTTGATGCTCATTTTCAACATGAAGTTGATTTCGATTTATTGCTTCTACTGTACAATTTATAGATGAAACACTTTCACGATCTAATGAAGTTTGACTAATCAACTCACCTGTGTTTTCATTAATCATTATTAGATTATTTTCAAAGTTTAATGGATTTAATGATGAGCATATTGGCTCTGATAGAGGAGTTGCTGATGTATACTCCTGTGAAATTAATCGATATATGATTTCAGCATTCTTTCCCAAATCAGCATCTGTAGCTTGTACTTGTATGATAGGTGTGGAAGGATCAAGACCTTCTTTAATCTTAGCAAAGTAGAATTGACGTTCAAATACCGGTGGAGAATCATTAATATCATCTACTTGGATAATAATACTGGTCTCAGCAGTTAATGGTGGTTCACCAGAATCCCAACATTCAATTTTTAAAGTATGTGATGATTTTGTCTCTCGATCGAGTGACTTCTTTAGTAATACTTTAAAATCTGAATTAGTCGCAGTATGCAGAGGGATAATTTCAAAATATTCATGTTTACTCCGACAATCAGACTTCTGAGGACTACTAATAACTTGATTCAATCTGGTTTGGGGCACAATTTCATCCAAATCCACTACATTGATCATAGCAACCAGAGAACCTGGTTGTGTATCTTCACCAATCCATATTTGATTCCCTCTCGAAGATAAACGTAGATGAGAGGCGACATGAATTGTTGGAGGATTCATGTTGATCTTTTTTAGACCAATCTTTAAAGTCATTTCTGTAATGTGTATCTGATCACTAACTTGAATTGGGACAATGTAACCCATTTGAGAAGAAGAAGATGCAGTATTCAACCTGCTGTTTTGATTGATCTCGGTATTTGAGTTGTCTAATTGAAGCAAACTAGCATTTTGATAACTCAACGACGTGATAACAATCAATTCACCGGTTTTAGAATTGAGCCTAAAACACCTTTGAACTTCAGCGTTTGCTGATGGTCCAATCTTGTAGACTAAAGAGTCCTGGTCATTAGAGTCCAAGTCAGTCGCCACTGCCTGATAGATCACAGTACCGGGCTTTATATTCTCTGGGATAACAATAGTTGGATTAGAGTTTTTAAACAATGGTGCATTATCATTCTTATCCATTAACAATACACGAATCAACACTGATCCTGTATACCTGTTCGATGCATTAGGAAACCGGTAACTATCACTTGAAGCATACTGCTTCCTTGTGTTCATTTGATTTGTCTCACCTCCGTCTATGGCATATAGCATTAGCTCATAGACTGGATGCGTTTCACGATCCAAATCTTCTTCGACACGCAGTCTTAATGAAAATGTTTGCAACTCAGAATTAGCACTCTCCAAAATATGTACGTCCAAGCTGAACGGCTGTTTATCTAATACATCTCGTCTAGATTGATTAGGGGCAGAATGTTTACTCGACTGATATTGATTATCTTTCAATGGTTTATTTTCTAATTCATAGGATACAACTGTATGCATAGGTCCTTGGTCGAAATCAACAGCTTCAGGTAATTGATAACTTGTTCCAATGGCCACATGTTCTGGTATCTCCAACTCTATCACTGATTGCATCCATTTTGGCGAGTTGTCATTAATATCCAATACATAAATGATAATCTCTAAAAATTGTTCATTATCAATATGAAAGAGAACAAGCATTCTCAATACACAACTTGATGACATCAATGATAAGTGTTCAGCTGATTTATCATTATTACTTATCTCCAGTTTATTATCTAACCATAAGTGATAATCAGTTAATCTGTCAGTATGACAACATGTTCCAATTGCATCACATAATGACTCTCGATCAATACGTGCACGTACAATTAAATCACCGGTTGTTTGATTTAAACTTATATATGGAATTGGTTTTAAATTGACAAATTGTTGATTATTTTTACTAGTAGTTAAAGAATTTTTTGTAAGTAATAAATTAGGATTATGTAATTGTAGTTTATCTAATAAATTGCCAACTATTGTACCAATTGGCGCTTCTTCAGTTATAATAAATCCAATTTGAATTGTTGTTGATGAGACATCATTATTTTGCATAATTGATAAACCATCATTATTAGTCTGAATTGTATTACGTAATGAACGTCGATTTATAAAATTCATTGGATTTATCGATTCTATTAAATGACTAGATGATGAAATATGACTTAGTGTAGTATTTACATTTAACTGATTTTTACAATTAATTTCTGTCAATAAAATCAATAAATATATGTATTGTGTTATATAACTACTATCTAATATAATCTTAATTAATCTGTTGTGTAAAATTGTGACTGATTGAAAGGAGACAGTATAACTATTTCTAAAATCAGTTATACTCATGGTATTTTAAGATTAGAGACATTGAGATAATACTTGTTTTTTGAACTAAGGTATCCAAGAACGAACTTAAGAATTATGAACTACAACTAAAGATATATAAATCCAAAAAAATTAACGATATGGCAACATTATTTAAACAATTTCAGCTGTTCAAAATATATTTTAAGAAGTATTAGAATGTAAATAATATTAATAGGGTTAAATAAAATGAATTCATTGTAGCCTCAAATGTATTGTAAAGTACATTACTGGGAAGCTATTTAGCGAGGTAATATACTGTCTCAAAAATTAACCAATCAGAAGTTAGTTAAACTTATGGGCAGTTTTAAGTGAATCTGATTGGTTATCTAAGTTTCACTGATACTTAATTGGATAAGTTAAAATTGTACTTGTTGATTTTGTCATTTTAATTGACCGGAGGTAATTTAAACACTATTAATTTTGATTTATATAAAACTTTTCAATGAATAAACTTGGTGCATTTATACTGACTTGAAGACTATAATTTTCGCTGAATTACAAGGAAGTTAAATAACTCGAATGCATTTATAATTACCAATCTGTAATTGAAAACATTTGACAAGAGAAAAGGCATAGACTAAAACTATCTGAGAAATTCTGTAGGTTTTGGAGGAAAAAAAATTAGGATAGCAAGATATATAGTCTACTGTCTTCTAAAAATGCTTATCACAAGTGACAGCAGATAACAAAGCACGAACGTCAGTTGGAAACAGGCTGGCTGGCTTCAGGAAGAACAAATCATGTGCGGATCAAATTACTGCGCTACGCTACGTATCATCAAAGAACAGAGAATAGAATGGAAGTCAGCTCTCTACCTCAACTTCATCGGTTTTGAAAAGACCTTCTACAGCATCGACCGAGAAGTAATTTGGCAACTGCTTCAACACTACGGTGTACCACAAATTTTTATCAACCTCATACCAAGTGATTCATAGTGGAAAGCTCAGTGACGCCTTTTAGGTGAAGACAGGAAAGAGTAAGACAGGGTTGCCACCTACTATCACTGATGATCTTCCTGTTTGTGGTGGACTGGATCATGCAACAAACTGTGAGGAGCGAGAAGATGGGCATACGCTGACTGTACCGATGAAAAGAGCCTAAAAGATTTGGATTTCACCAATGATGATGATTTTTGTCTGCCTTATATCGCACGAAGTTGAAGATCTACTGGCGAAAACCAACAAGTTGGCAGAAGAGGCAACATCGTTACAACCACAGGTGGCTGCACAAACGAGAACGTCAAAGCCAGGATCGGAAAGACAGCAAAACAGACCTTTATTAATCTGAAATAATCAGGATGGGGATCTACTGCATTCAGCGTAAACAACAAGATCCAGGTTTTCAACACTAGTGTCAAGTAAGTCAGTGATTCTATGTGATGGTTCAGAGACTTTGCGCGTTACGAAAAGCATTTCCAACAAACTGCAGTCATACACCATCGACAGCTGCCGCCTACGCATTACTCGATAGTAAAGATCAGACGGCCAGAATAATAAACATAAGCAACTAGGAACTGTGGCTGGCAACGAACCAACCAAGAATGTGTCGCCCAAAAAATGTTCAGAAGAAAGTGGAGATAGATTAGATTGCATTGGACATACACTGAGAAGACCATTTGGTGACATCACGTGCCAGACTAGGCCAGATCCTTGGACGGAACCCAAAGGAGAAACGACGGGTTGGGCGTCCGAGGGTGACATGAAGGAGATGGTGTGAGGAAGAAATGAAAGCTTGTGGGCAGTGATGGAGTCAGGTTCAGAGAGAACAGCGTGAGATGCCGACGGGCCACTGAAGCCCTATGTTCCACAAGGAACACAAAGGATACATAAAAAATAAAAACTTCAGTTGTACATCGTCTGCATACTGTCATCTGAGACTCGTTTATGTAATCAAACAACTGAAGCCATTACACCTTTGCTATTTGTATTGAACAAGAAATATTCTACGCAAAAACAAGCTAGTGTGAAACTTCACTGATCATTTTATCAACAATGTATGAATTTTCAAAACCTTTTCAGTCACTTACAAGGGCATTAAAACGTATTCCACACTCTTAGAAGTTAATTTATCTTGCATTTTGTTGTTCTGATTTATGATTGAAGTATCGCTCGTTGAATATCTTTAATAACCCATTTTAACAGTCAAATTATATCGGCTAGGAGATCCATTTTTTTGTTTCACTTTGGTATCCATATTAACTCCTGAAATTCAAAATGCACTCAACAGTCTTGTGCAAATTCACACAGTAGGCTATGATACATACCTACTATGTAAAACTAACGATACTACCACCCGGCTACTCAGTCCTTGGTAGGTACAGTGCGGTTCCAAGCGATGACTAATTGATTGAAAATAATCCCCCTAAACCAATGAATTAACTTTAATTTCGCGCGGTGCTTAAATCCATGGATAATAATAATACATTTCGTGAAGCCAAGTTCAAAAGACTGGAGAGAACAGACTGAAATAGCGATGTGCTACTAAAGCCCTATGTTCCTCTAGGAACCCAAAGGACAAATAATAATAATCATAAACACAACTACTATTACCACCATCTCTTTTAGTATCCTTCTCTGTTTGGTCAAACACAGAGTGCTGAATAAGGCAGCTGTTACAGGGTTGCAGTGTATCATTTACCAGGTTTTTCTCAGGTTAACGGAGGCCCCAACAGTTGAATTCACTTATATTCGTCCAGCTGTTGTAGGTTTACTACAATAATGAGTAGTTCCACAGTTGATTATGGACGAAACCCCTACAACTAACTGTGGGTGACTGGTCTATTTTACCTATGTCCTTGATGTGGCAATCATCATATGGTATTTGGATGATAAAATGATTTCATTTCACTTGAGTGAGCCTTTAGACTTGAATATTATCCCATTTCCCACCTTGTTTGAGATTCTATACAGAATTTCTTTCATCCATTCACCGTATGATAACACTTTAGAAGGTGTGATTTCTCTCTTGGTTTTGCCGTAATCACAATTTACCCTGCTACGTATCATTTTCTTATCTAAATCAACTCTCCAGCACAGATACTGACTAGCAGTGGTCTTCTGTCTGCTTCATTCCCCCATTTAAGTCTTTTGATTCGGCAATCAGATTTATAGCTGGCATAAGGTGGATTCGAATTTATCTGATGAAATATGTGCTTTCACATTGGTTGCTACTTTGTTGAATCAATCGAGTGGAAGTGACTGACAGAATGATACAAGATAAGAAAGACACTATTAACGCAATGAGACACTGGGACTGGATACGGACAGCGACTGTTCTCTCTCAGACCTTAAACTTGAATGAGTGGCGAAAATTTAAAGACCAAGATCGGTCTGTAACCTTAAGGAAGACACTTTATGTGACTAAAAACAAATAATTTGTGTACAGTTTTTTCTAAGCAGATCAAGTCGTTAGATCAGAAATAGGATATTCTGATTATTAAGCTGTAAGAAAACATTGTTCAATTAGGTTTTAATTGCTCACACAGTGACATGAAAGAAGGCTGAAATCTAAAACTTCCACGTCAACGGTTGATTTTTTAGAATGTTGATTTTGATTAAGGCCACTTCGTACCATTTAGACTATATAGGTTGGTCTCTGCTAGCCTATGGGCTCCACTCAAGATGCTCTGATCTTGCCTGAAGATTGGTTCTGATGTCATTTAACTTTTCATGGCTAGCAGCGGAAGCCACGACACGTCTTGTCCTTCTTGGGACTCCACATATGTACACCTGCATCCTCAAAGGAACTCATATACCAATCAACACCCATTGATTCGGTCCAAAACAAAAATCAGTGGATGAAAACTGCCGCATATTGCATAAATGGCTCATTAGCCCAGTAGATAACACTTTGATCTTGTGTGGATGCTCATCCCATTTATGTCTTAGTGAGAACACCACCACCCACTTAAACGGATGTACATCCAGCTCATAAGTATAAAATATGACGAAATATGCATTCTGAATCCCACTAATAGCCATCATCAGTTAAATAACACTGGAATGTAGATTATTTAAATAGAAATGAGAGGATGAAATACAGCTTCATCTGGTTTTAAAGCAGACCCACATGTGGTATCAAATGAAAGTACACGTTCACATAAAAACCTCAATCTCTAATTCATTCACTCTTCACAACTGCTACACTGCATATGATTGTCATCTTTCCTAACATTCTGATAATGCACAATCATTTACGCAGAAAAACTCAAATCAAGCTATTATATATAAGCTTGAATAGTATTGATTTCCGTCTAGTATTAGTTTCATTCAGTTATTAGCAGTAGGTAGCCAAACAACAGTTTAAGAAAACCTTCTTTTGGTTTGTATTCATAAAGAAATGAAACTACCAATAGTAATGAAGATCATTTCTTGCTTGATTACTTAGACGTTCAATTAACTAACTTCGGGTTAGCTGTAATGAAGTCTAAGCATGTAATTTGAGTGTATTAGTTTTATCTGCAGAGTATTATATAAACCATCAGTCTTTCTTCGTCTTATTTCCCATTCCAGACTATACAGTTCTTTTTGTTCATTTTCTAGGTCCAAAGGGAAACAAAGAGCATCTACTGATGACCTTTAATACGTAAAGAAACTAAGGATATGCTCTTAATTCCATACAGTGAATGATAGACAGTGGTGGAATCCGTCAGTCACTGCACTTACTCGGGGAGCTACATCAACTTAAACTGACTAGTTGCTTACGAAATCTGGGATAAAAAAGCTCATCCGGCATTCGCCAACTCATGTCATCCGTGACACCGGCTGGTGAGATATCCAAGCATCTATCCAAGGACTGGTGTACTGCACCTCATTCCATTCTATCCTGTTATACGGGTGTGAAACATGATTGATGAAAGCAGAAGATATGAAGCGGTTACTGGTTTTGATCACGTGTTTCTTTGCTCCATTTATTGCTTTTGGTGGAATCACTGAGTGAGCAGTGTTGAGGTCAAATGAAGGCTACTAGGCAAGCAAGTC